GCAAGTTTTCATCTAAGGCATGACAAACTAACATTACAAAGAGGAGGGAATCTTCATTATACTCACATCATGATCATCCATCATTCTCCTCACACCAGCACCCTTAACTCCGATGATGAAACGATGAAATTCAAATGGTACAGTTACTTCTTCTGTTACAGGAACCAAGGCCTACAATATAGAAATTAACAAGTTACAGACTGAGAAATGACTGGACAGTAACACCCTGGAAGTCACAAGATCATTATTATAGTATCCCAAAAATACAACTTGAATCTGTCAGATTTGCCTTTCTCTAATAATAAAAACAAACATGGCTGCCACCAGAGTTGGACTCTGCAAAGAAGTTGGCTGATTCTGTTCTAAACTTTTTGTATTTTGGCATTCCTATGATGTATCCTTGGAAGGAAAAGATGTATAATAATAAGGTTATTACGAGGATACCGACAAGTATACACTCAAACAGTACGCGGCCCCATCAACCTACGCTGCGCGTCTGTCGATACTCCTGCTGTAATGTCTTCGTGTATACTTTTGTATACTTTAATAACCTTACATTAATACCACATATTTTTAATGCTTCTGAGCACATTGCTTATGCCACTCATGACTAATAATTTTTAGTGTGAATTTATTGTAAACAGTTATAGCAGCAATTGAAGATAGTATCTCACCAGTAGAGCAGCTTTAGCACGGTCACAATTATCCTGCTTGCCAGTGATAATTATTGTATCACATTTCTTGGGTTTATCATCTTCACTGTTCTCACTTCCGCCATCGCCATTGACAACAGGTTCAATGGGTTCACCATTGCCATTATTTCCATTACCTATGAACCAAATAGTGTCAATAATGGTAAACACAAACATCATCTACACTAATTTCAGAAAACCTATTGGTGTTTGGAAAACCTAAGGCAAATACTTTTCTTGCACCAATGAAAAATGATTGATTCTATCCCCCCATACAAATAAAGATTTTTTTAGTTAACATGTAAGGCACATTGTGTTTTACGGGAAAGGAAATGCCAACGTGCAGCTGTAACATAGTCAAGTCAGCCATTTTGTGAACAGTTTTAGCAGATGAAACGCAAGACAAATTAACATTTTCAAAACTTGTTCACCATTTTAAGTTCGACATTTTTCTTCGCCATGATGTAACGCATGTATTCAAAATAGAGATAATGACTTGTTTGACATTTGTTTTATTTTACTTACTTTCTGCATTCATGTTCATATTACGATCAGGGAATTTGATTCCTACTTCATACTCTGATGTAATGGCCTGTACTTTGGATCCTTTGGCCCCCATAACAGTGCGATGGTTTTTCTGGTCAATTATACATTCAACAGTCACTTGGGATTCCTAATAGACAGAAACAATATTCAAAAGATACCCTTTATAACCAATATAATTTAGTCAGGAAAATGCAATATTAATAAACCGCCTTGAATCAATGTTATCAATCACCAGGGTGAAAATTAATTTTTAGTGATTTTGAATGCACTAATTTGGCTTTCATATATTGTAAAATTATTTGACAAGCAAAAATTTACTGTGGAAGGGGTTAGTTCTACAACATTACCCATGACTGACCAACTGACCAACAATTGCAAGATACACTCAAATATTAAGAGAACCACAACACAAATCAGCACAGACACATGGTTAAAACCCCATGGAAAAGGCTCAATACTACGACTGCACAAACATCAAAGACACAATTGTAAACGTCGTTAACGCGAAGGCCAATAATGGTCACTGTCTGGAATTTTGGTAATAATCTGCAGAGTTTCTTTGATAGAAACAACAGAATGTAATCCAATTTAATATTCCTCTTCTTATTACACACTTGTAGATGGGACTACTACATGCATGCCTTTGTAAAGAGGGCAAGGTCTCACCCCCCCCCCCCCTCCAATGACTACTTGCCTGAGAACAGTGCCTGAGTTGTCACAAGGAAGTGTCAATACAGAGAACAAGTACTTACCAAGTCTTGCACGATTTCTAATATTCTATTTTTGGCTCCCTCAACACAATCTTTAGCTCCTTTCACTGTCACTTTATCATTCTTGGTTCCACTTCTAGGAAAACTAACAGTAACACCACCATAGTCATCTGCTATATCCCTCAATACTTGACCACGGCGGGCTACAAAATGACGATGGAATTTGGGATCCACACTGATCTCACTTTCAGCAATATTATCCTGTTAACAGATTATTTGTTATTTATGGTGCAATAATTAAACCAATAGTTTAACAATTTTCAATAATTATTGTCTAAGCAGACAAGATTAAGCTAAGTTAAGTTAAGTTAAGTTAAGCAAACAGTACATTATTTAAATACAGTACACTTTTTGTATACATCAATTGACAAGGCATTTCTCAGACTGAATTGGGAGCTGTGTTTTTGACAGACCAGGCTAAGTTAATAGCACATTATTCAATACAATACACTATACATTTAATAACAAATTCAATTAAATGGAAGCCTTGTTTTTAACAGATACACTACATTCTATACATGACAAACTACACAGCTGTTCCTTCAATCGATTGAACATCACCCATCAATTTAATTATGTCAGAAGCCAGAATAAAAACAAAACAAGATAACAGATGCTTGGTGCAATTCAAAATATTATTACAGCATAGAAATACTTGCTATGTAAACATATGCTTAGTATATCTATACCAAAGGTCAACTTACCAGATTTTTAATAAGTTGTTCCAATTCTCCCTTTGCGTCATCTACGCATTCCTTCTTTCCTATAATTGTAATCAGCTCCTGGTCCTCGTCCTTTGAAGTTGGGAAGACAATACGTGCACCAGTTCTGTCACGTACTTTTCTAATATTCGTCCCACCTCTACCAATTAAGAACTTATGATATTCTGGTTTAGCATGTACTTCAGCTGTAAAGCTAGACTGGGCCTAAAAAGTTTCATAAACAATTCAGTATTGGAACTCCTGTACACAAAGTTGTGTATACCAAATTAAACACAAGTCATGTACTCATGACTTGCCTTATATATGCAAGGGCTGGCGTATTATTATACAAGGTGGGGCAGATAACAGCACAAGATGGGAAGATGGACGAGGAGAGAGAAGATCACTGCAGAGGGTGGGGGAAGGTAATTTACATCTATAGATTAACCAACAAGCAGCCAGTCGACTGAGATAGCTCCGCTGTTAGCAATGCACATTTCAATTAAAGAACAGAAGATATCATTAGAAAATGAACAATATGTATAGTATCAAAGCAATCAGACTTGCGGTTTTCAAAAAAAATTCAAAAATATCACTTTTAACCAAAAATAACAAAAATAATCATCAAAATTAGATAATTGAAGATATCACAACAAAATGAACAAATCTGAGAGAGAACCACCCAAGGTACCTTCCTAGAAAGTTTCACAGCTATACAGTTTGTGGTTTTTAAGAAGAAGTCAAAAATGTAAAGTTGACGACGGACAATCAGTAATACTATAAGCTCCGCTCAACTTAGTCGACAACAGGGCTAAAAAGAATTGTTAGGCAAATAGGGCAGTTTGGGGAGTAGTTGCAGAAAGGAAAGGTAAAGGAGTATCGTAAAATTCCTTTTTGAGACCGCGGCTTTAATTAAAATTCATTTTTACAATGGACGAATTCAGATGCGTGAAGTCTTGGTGCGGCTTTAATTAGAGCATTCACTTCGGTAACAGTGGGAATTTTTTTCAGAAAACAAAGGAAGGAATAATGATATGCTAATGAGATGCACGACACTCGATTGCAACTTTGTTGCAATTCTAAGGCACTTTCGGATTTTTACACACAGACAAACTTGTACACAAACGAAATTTCACACTGTACAACATACTGCACAATAAATAATATCTACAAATAGATTTGTATGCATTTGCAGATTACGATACTGTATACTACAATCTCTTGAATAGATTAATTCGTTAGCACCGGTCACTCTTTTAGTAACCGTGCAGACAGCCGTCTGACAGTCGATTGCGGCATGTTCGACTTCCGGCAGAGTGACTGTACATTCCATGTTTAATCTAGACATCGGGGAAATTAAAATAAAAAAA